GATTTTTTTAACAAGGGGGACCCGTGGGGGGGGGAAGTTTGGTGGGGAAGTTGGGGGGGGGGGCCGGGTGGGGTTGGGGTGGTTGTTCCGCCGGCGGGGGGTTCCGAAGGGGGCTTCAGGGGGGTTTTCGGAAGGATGGATATTTGGCGGGGGGGGGAAATGGGATCAGGGAAGGACCGGGGGGACTGGTTGGTGGTAGGTATGGGTAGGTTTTTTAACCTGGGGGGGCGGGGTATAACCAGGCCGGCTGGGGGGGTTGGGGGTTGGGGGGTGGACGGGGGACCAACGGCTTGGGGGGGGGGTCGGCCACATCGGGGGGGGGGTTTTTTTGGGGGGCTTTTAGGGCACAGGGTGGGGTGGGGGGGTTTCACCATTTTTGGGGTATATACGGGGGGGGTTTTGGGGGAAATATAGGGGGGAGCCCCCCCCCCCCCATCCCCCCCCCCTCATACTGGTGCGCGCAGTCCGCCGTGGAGTGCCTGGCGTCGTCTGAGAGCGAGGGGGAGGACGACGACCCCGCCGATGGCGACGGCAAGAACGAGGGTAAGGAGGAGGAAGAGGAGGACCGGAGAGAGGAGGCCCGCGTGCAGAAGCTGTGGGTGAAGAGGGCCAAGCGCAGGAGGGTGTTGGCGGAGGTGGAGCAGTCCGCGGCGGGGGGGGACAGCCAGGGGCCGGAGCTTCTCATGCAGGAGGTGGGAAAGCGGCCGAGTTGAAGAAGGGGGAAATCCAGTCGTCTGTTTGCCGGTGTTGGTTTGTGCTGGGTGCTGTTGGCATCGCCAGTGCTTGGACTGACGCATCAATGCCGCTTGAAAAATGGAGAATGCTCGCATCTTCTTCTTGGATGTCCCGAGATACGGTGGTGCCCCCCCCGATTGACACGCCTTGATAACCTGGTATTCCCGCTATATTGTAGCATTCGCTGCAATTCTTCGGTTACCGCGCACGTACTCACTCCCCTCGTGTTCGGGCGTTTGTTCGACAAGCTTAAACTTCTGTCGTTTGTACGTCACACCCGCTAATACATACAGGACGAAGACTCCCAGGCCATTCTCAGCCTGCTCCAGTGCACCAACAGCCGCCTCGGCTTCTCCGCTTCTACCGGGGGAGGCGGTGTTGCCAGCGGGGACGGTACGGCCGGGGCCGCGGCGGCGGCGGGAGACACGGGCGGGAGTAGCACCACCGGCGGCGGCGGTGGCGGCGGCGGTAGGCGGCGGGCCCGCGACGAGTACTCGGGCGAGCTAGACGCTAACGAGGTCGCGAACGGCTTTGGGATGGGCATGTCTTCAAAGGTGAACGATATGTACTATGATACACCGCCGTTCCGCAGGCGTGCGCCATGTTTCTGCACCGATTGTGAACACTTTTTTTGGCTTTGTTTTGTTTTGCTCTAGGTTGTGCAAGCCGAGGTACCCCCTGTCGACTGCTTTAGAAGTTCTGCAAATACCCACGAAGAAACGCACACGGCTGTGTCCCAGCACATTCGGCCCGTAGCTGCTGTCGACATGATCGGCCGGAGGAAGGGTCTCCGCTGGCCGGACGCTCTGCCATGCCGCCGACACGGTGTTAACGAAACCCGGCAGCACATGCATATCCCCGCGTGAATCGGTCGCGTTTTTTCTCCAATCTGCTCGCGTAGGCATGCCAATGGTTAAATTACTCCCCTCGTTTCCTGATGCATGCATGCTGTACGCGAACCCGATCGATCTAGCTCCTGAAGCGGGCCAAGAGCGACGGCACCGAGCCGACGGACGTGACCAACGCCGAGGCCCGCGCGCGCATGGACCGCGCCTTCACCATGCCCCAGTTCGTCACCTCAAGCGCTGGGTATGCGGGCTCAGCACGCGCCAAGAAGGTGAGTGCTCAGCTGTCAGCTGCCGTCCGCCGTACCCCTGTGTCTGTCTGTAGAAGCACGTGGGCGATGTAGCTGCCGGCCTTCTTTCCTGGCGAAAACGTGCTCGTCGGTGTGATCCTTTTTTGTGTAACACGGATGCACTCGCGCACATACGTAGGCAAGGTGCCAGCGTGCGGTGTTCCCGGTCGAGCACGACGCGACGCCCCGATCGACGGAACCACCCTACCGAACCAAACGTGGAACCGTCCCGTCCGCCCACATGCTACTGCTGCTATTTGTCGTCGACCGAAACGACCAGGTTCAGCGCCAGGGCTCGTTCCTGTCGCGGTCGGGCAGCTTCCACTCGCGCTCCGGCTCCCTCGCGTCCGGCAAGACCACGGTGTCCGCCTCCAAGTTCGTCTTCATGTCCAGCGTTTCTGGTGCCGCCGCCGGCGGCGCTGCCGCCGACGACAACTGCGCGCGCACCGGCTTCGAGGAGCCTGCCGCGAGAGACGTTGGTGCTGGAAAAGAGGGAGGGGAGGGGTGGAGCACGAGCCGTCCGCCCTTTTCCGCGTCCGGTGCCAACTCTGCCGCCGGGAAGAAGGCCAGGGCGGGGGCGTTCAGTGGCATCAGCGCGCTGAAGAAGGGGAAGGGGGTGGGGAACCCCGGGGGTGGCGGCGACAAGGGCAGGTTGTGGAAGGGGCTGTGCGCGAGCGGGAAGCAGAAGGCCCGGCGCTGAGCGCGTTGCTTCGTCCGCCGTTCACGCGTACCATGTCAGCGGGCGCCACGACTAATTAGAGTTTCCTGTTTTATCTCTGTACGAGGGGGCTATATGGGTTCAGGAGTAGCGATATGCTCACATTGTAGTAGCCAGAGCACACAGGAAACAGAGCGTTGTAGATACAGTACATGAGAGAACTGGTAGTGTGAGTTTTGTGTGTGGTGTCGAAGCGTACGAAGCACCACGAAATGTCGGCAGTCAACACCCGGTCGCTACTCTCGTCTTTGAATCGATGTTCGTCTGGTTCGTAGGATTTTGCGGAGAGCACGTGAGTGAAATACTTTATTCTGATGTTGTATTCTGATGTGCCTCTCGACTGGCACCGCCATGTGTCCCCTGTGCGCGGGACAAATTCCTACCTTCCTGTGTAAATCGACAGAAACGCGTCGCATAGATAGGCTATTCATCTCAGTAACGCATCAGAACGAGTCTCGAGCCTCAATGGTGTTCTTGCCGGCGAAGAGTCACAGTTCCGCGTCTGAATAGTTAATATAGAAATGTACAGAGTATGTGTTTTCCAGCACCAATCCTCTTACTCGATGCTGGGGCCTGATATTTGGTGCAGGTCTTTCAAGAAGCAATCGCCGCAGTTGCTTTTGCTTTGAGCCCCCCCCCTCGCTCATCTGATTCCAAGAATGGATAAAGCGTCATGCTGGTCAGTTCGTGACAGCCGATACGTGCCTTTTTCACGAACGAAGCCCCTTACGCAGCCTCTCGTCTTTGGTGGTGTATATTAGTTCTGCAGCCCGAAAGCCCTTCCCTCCACGTTCGAAGCCCACCTAGCGGCTAAATAGGGTGTACGTGCAACATGAAATCAAGACGACGACCTTTCCGCGACTAGCCCACTCTTGGAGATCCTCCAGAGTCGGGCAAGGCCGGCCTCTGCCAATCGAAACCGTCTTTCCTGCCCCCATGAAGGCGGAACTTGCATTGCTCTGGCGGCGAGGTCGCATTCAGGTGCGCTACTTAGGGGAGTATTTCCGAATGGAGCACGCGAACGCATGCACAAACTCGTAATCTGAATCTTGCCGTCATGCGAAGGACTCGACAGCTGAAGCCAGCTCATTCATGCACCAACGTAGGACGGTATTGCCCTTCTCCCGGAGCCTCTCCGATTCATCGTCTACACCCTTGGCGACTGATACATCTTGTCAGCCTTGTCCACAAGGCATCGGGTTGTAGTTACCATTTTTGCCCACGGAGTACGTGCGACCAGGGCGTGGAGAGCTCCGAGGTGAGCAGAGATGCCGCTAGCACCGATGGGCCCTGGATGGGGCCGAACCGGCCGGTGACCATCATTCCCTCCGCTGCCCGTTCATCCGCAACGAGGTCGTACTTGTGATGCCGGTCGAATACCGGGTCGAGGGACCGGAATCGCGGGGGCTTGGCAGCCGATGATGGCGCGGGTGGCATTGCGCCTTGGGTGGTTAACGCCGGTGGTCTCAACCTTCTTTCTCGTGCGCTGACGTTGTCGTTGCTTCTGCTGCTGTTATTGCCTCTGCTTCGGTGAGAGAGTTGCATGCCGGGGGCGACACCGACTTGGTGTCCTGCGTCGTAGGACATTGGGCGCCGCGCGCTGCTCCTGCTCCTGCTCCTGCTGCTGCTGCTGCTGCTTCTGCGGCCGCTGTTCTCTTGTTGATCGCCCTGCGACGATAGCGACGATCGGAAGGATGCTGGTGGTCTGGAGCTGTTGTACGAGCCATTGGACGAAGAAGAAGAGGGTGCGCAGGTGGAGTCGGAACGCTGAGTGGAGCCACCGCTGGAGCCCATGGAAGGGGTGCGGCGACGCCGAGCGGAGAGGACGTTCTTCTCCGCGTCTTGTTCGCGCTGTTTCACCGAACGGGCAGAGAGCAACATCGGCTCGCCTCTCGCTGAGACAAGCCGTGAAGACGCCATCGCCGATCCGTTCGACGCTGCTGCTGCCGCTGAGGATGCGAGGATGGTCTCCACGTCCCCTCCGCGTGCTCGCTCGGCCGGCCAACAGAAACCACCCACCTGTGTGTGTCGCCGAAACGTTTGTGTTCAGACCGAGGGAAGTTGGGATTGGGGCCAAAAGCAACAGCGGTGCTGATGTTTCTTTGTCGCATATCGCGAGAGGAAACGCGCGGTTCAAACATTCAAACCCAGCTGAATGTTTGCAGTCGAGCTGGCGTGAACCTGTCAACACGTTTTAATGCCTTCTGCTCATTTCATGACAAACTGAAAATATCACGAAGAACGAAGAACAACGCTTTGCCAAGCTCGATGTTCTTGGCGCCGCGGGTTGGTGGTGTACGGTTTTCAGAAGCGCTTGCTGCCCTTTGAGTGGATGAAGATCTGGGGCAGTGGAGAAACCCTAGACCGTTTTCATCGTTGTTGGCATAGACTTCAACACATGTAGTCCACATACACAACGCAGAAAATACTCGGCTGCCATCTCATTGTGCATGGCGGTCCTCTACGAAACAGCAGAAATTGATATATTGCTCGTGCGTCGTGGAATATGGATTGAGATGCAGCATCATCAGCACCAGACATGGGACACAACGCCGAGTAAAGAGGATGTATCGCGGCTGGCTGCTGCTGTTGTTGTTGGTTACAAAAAATATTAAACATCCCGATCTCTCAGTACCTGCTGTTATTGACCGAACTGACGCGGAAGCCATTTCACAAGTGACCACAACGATGTGCGTTCCATAACAAAGGACCATTTTCGTTTTATTACGTTCGAACCACATGCCCTTGAACAGAAGTACGGGGACTGAACAATTTGTCGGCGCGGCAGAAATACTACCTTGTTGCTGGACATTCCTACTGTAGTAACGGCAATGCACGCGCTTTCCATGCTACAGCAGTAGTACGGCAGCGGGATTCACCAAACTGCTATTGTTGCACCCAAGGAAGGTATCGATCACCAATCGTGACCACCGCTCGACCGGTCAATCGAGTAGAAACTTCACCTCTCCGCTCGTCAAGCTCTTGGTGGCTTCTCGTGCCCTGGAGTCGCCATCCACGCCTCCGCGAATACTCTCCGTGTTCCTGCCGAAGGACACGTCCGACCTGTGCGTGTCTATCCCGGCAGTGACATTGTTTCTTCGGTACTCCCGCACGTTTTCGCTCGAAGGTCGCCGAACGCTTGCCCTCGGCGTCCGTACATTGAAGTATGCCCGGTCGGTCGGCATGAAAGCGCCGTACCTGTGCCCAGAGGAATCGCGACCGACACGGTTGGTTGGTTGGGGACGAAGCCACGCAACCAATTTCTCAACAATCATCTCTGCGCAACCAACGGACGGTCATGTGTGTGATCCTACTACAATACAAGATGTTGTAGGTTAAAAATAGGCCATTGCTTCATCGCAGTATCGACAGAAAATACTTACCCGATACCGTCCGACCACGTATGAATCGACCCTTGCAAGCTCATGTTGTTGGCACGGCGGTGTTGCTCAGCTCAGACACCTACGGCGGCTTCGAGTACCTCGATGAAATATAATGCGTGTTGTTGCGGGACAAACTTACTGTATGGTTTCAATCAATACTTTTTCGTGGCGATATATCTCTATCTTCCCTTTCCTGGTCTCTCTCTCTCTCTCTCTCTCTCTCTCTCTCTCTCTCTCTCTCTCTCTCTCTCTCTCTCTCTCTCTCAACTAATCAACTCGATCGATCGTCGCCGCGCATGACGGTTTCACCGCCCAAAACGCCGCAGGATCGGCTTGCAACTCCCGCGACGCTATCCCCCGTTCTGTCTCCTGTTTACTCACGGCGCCACCGTGGGCGAGGCAGGAGCTGAGCAACTGACTGTGACAGCTGACACATCGCCACCACACGCCATTGCCACAGGAGCACAACCACGCCAACATGTCCCTAGCCTTCTTATTCAAGAAGACATGGCATCCTTCTACTCTCCAGAACTCGGAGAAGGTCTGGATTGCCGAGCAAAAGGATGCGGCGGAGAAGAAGCGGATCGAGGAGCTCACCAAGCAGGTTAGGGAGGAGCAGCAAGTTCGAGAGCTGGAGGAGATGCAGGTGTGTGCCCGGCTGTGCTGCGTGGGTGTGAGTACGTCGTGCGCCTTCGTGTGCATGTGGGCTTGCGTACCGCGTTTGTATCTCGTAGTATTCCTCCTGAAACAAAGAGGGAGACAGGTGCTGAGATTTCACCAACATTTCGGTGTACTGTACAGCAGTACTGCTGCTGTAGTACTGCTGTAGATCGCGCAGCACGGACCCTTGCTGCTTGTACGAGTGGCACCGTTGCGTATGCGTTCCTTAGGTGAGGCAATGCGTTTGAAAGCACCCGCAAAGCACAATGCAGTGTGCCTGACTATAGTATCATGACATAGGCCGGAGACAGGCAACAGTGATAGTTTGTTGTGAACACAACAGGCGTTCTCTCTCGCACCCTTGATCGACACCAAGAAACGATGCGACAGCTCAACACCCGCCGCTTCCACCGCCGGTTCTCGACAATGGCATGGTGAAACAGCCCCCAGTACTTAAGGCACATCCCGATGCTATTGTGCCCAGTGCCTGTGTCGATGTAGATCAGCTAATGATGGAAAGTGGATGGTCCGAACCAAAACGTGTTTCACGTGAGTGTGAAACCTGTTTCACGTGAGTGTGAAATACAATGCGAAACATCAACATCCGCCCTCGGCAGGTGACGCTACAGCACCCCAGCTTTTTTGCCTCAACCCGCCTTCCCGGGATTGCTCCCCACGTAGAAATTCGCAATCTTACGATCTTGTACGACAATCCACGCAATAGCAATCTCTGACGTTCTTCGAGAGACGCTGGTTGACCCTAACGGCTATCCGCCTGTCTCCCTTTGTGTTCCTTCGACCCCCTCGGGCTTTTCCAACGGCCGCCCCGTGACGAATACCCACAGGCTGCCGGCGGCCACGGTCCAGAGCGCAAGCAGCGCATCGACTGGATGTATGAGGGCCCCATGCAGTCGGCGCAGGACCAGGAGGCGGAGTCGAACGAGTTCCTCATGGGGAAGAAGGTGCGCGCCCGTGTCGAGTTTGTGATGCAGCGTCTACCCCCGCTTAGATGACATCACGGCACTCCTTTATCACCGCGCCGTATAGCAGCGGAGACGTGAACAGGGTTTTTGCCTATTTCCTTTTTTTTTGTCATGACCGTACTTGTCGGTGCGTATGCAAGCAAGGCCAGTGCAACGAGTAGACGGACCGGATGGTTCAACGGCAGTAGCCAGGACGAGGAGTACCGCCAGCAGTCAAGGCAGACAGCACCTGCGCGAACAGGGCGAATTAGATGAGTTTAGCCAACCGGCGGGAAAATGGGCGCTCACTCGCTCCTTGCGCAATCACGAGTCTGTTTTCATTTCCATTTTGCTCAACTCGGGTCTGCCCGCTCCGTGTGTGTTTGCGCGAACGGACTGTTGTCGTGCACGTGCCAATTCTACCCTAAAATCCGACCGCACGGCCAATTGGCAACAACAATTTACCAGTTCGAGATGAAGGACAAGGGGACCAGCGAACTCAAGACGATCGAGGAGACCAAGGCGCCGGGCACGCTCTTCGCGGCCGCTCCGGCCACCACGGCCAACGAAGCCTTCCGCCGCGTCAACGAGGATCCCTTGTTGCGCATGAGGTGGGTGCTTGTGTTTCGTTGGCGGACACGCTAGCCGGGTATCCAGTGTAAAGCTGGCAAGCTTCCATTCAACACTTGCTAGTTCGTAGGTTTCCCTGACTAGAGGTGGCGCGTAGAAATGAAACACCCGTGTTTCTTTCGCAGAATTGGTGTTGAAATTTTCTTTATTCGTCACCCCGTTTGGGTATCGTATCGCGCTAGCCGTCATGCTAGTATCATATTCGAATATCGAGATGCTGATCCCTCGCTTGACACAAGTTAGTCGTTTTACTTGTCGCAGGAAGGCGCGCATGGAGGCTGAACAGAGCGTGGTTAACAACCCGGTGAAGATGAGCAAAATGATGCACCAGCTGCAGGCGGAGCTTGATGCCAAGGCGGAGAAGAAGCGAGCGAAAAAAGACGCGAAGAAGGCAAAGAAGGACGCGAAGAAGGTATTTATGATGTCATCTGTTGTTCTTTCTCCTCTGTACAATGTATGTTTTGCCCCCCGTGTTGCTCCTGTTTTCTTTCTCACGCAGCGGTGGTATTGTGTGCGTCTCAGCCGTGGTATTGGTGTTGGTGTCAGCTAAAGGTCAGCAGAACTCCGCACATCCCCATCACGTTTGATGGAATCCGAAAGTAACGCCGCCGGCTCCCCCCCCCGGTCATTCTATTTCGCACCAATGTCATGATCAACAGCACAAGAAAAAGGACAAGAAGGACAAGGAAAAACAGCAGCAGCAACAGCAGCATCAGCACACGAGCGGCAGGGGCGGTAGCGACGAAAGCGACCGAGACTCCGATGACAGTCGCCGCCACCACCACCACCACCGCGACAGGGGAGGGCCAAGGGTGAGCGATAGCCGAGGCGATCATCGCCGCGGCTCTGAGCGAAGGAGCGATGGCGCTAGCGGAGCAAGAGCAAGTCGCTGGGGGGACCCCGACACAATGGCGGCGGCGAGCGGAGGTTCTGGGAGGCGGGGCGGAGGAGACGCCGCGGGTGACGGGAGGGATAGAAGGCGCACGGACGAGTGGAGGGGCGACCGGAGGGGGGACGACCGCCCGCGCTCTTCCGAGCGCGGCAGCGGGAACGCACGAAGCGAGAGGGAGCGAGGGCGGGGGCGTGGCGGCGGGGGTGGCGACTCCCCTCGCCGGGGAGGAGGAGGAGGAGGTCGGGAGCGTGGTACTACCAGGCGGACGAACCAAAGCGCGTCCCGCAGCAGGAGCCGGAGCCGAAGCCGGTCGCCGCCGGCGAGGCGCGAGAGGGGCGGCGGCAGAACGGAGGAAAGGGGGGACCAGCGACACCACCACGAGCAGAAACGGCAAAGGAAACGCGCCCGCAGCCGAAGCAAGAGCCCGCCGAAAGCTAGGCGTGCAGCGACAGACAGTAACAGCAGCAGCAGCAGGGGCGGCAACAACAGCAACAACGCGGGTGCCGCGGAGGGTAAGCGGTACGGGCTTGTGGCGGGCGGGGGCGGGGGCGGGGGCGGGGGCGGGGGCGGTGGGGGCGGAGGGAAGTCTCTGGGGCCAGCCGCGGCGCTGTTGGACGCGAAGGAGAGAGAGAAGAAGGATAAGGAGAAGGTGAGGGCGGACGCGCGGAAGCGACGAACGATGACGCCGGAGGAGAAGATGCGACGGCTGAAGGAGATGGAGGACGACGGTACCCGCAATCAGGTGCGACCTTCTGGTCCGATGTGTTTTGTGTTGTGGCGGATCGGAACACAGGCTTCACGTCATACGCTGCCGCTGTCCGCTATTTGGTGGTAGGGCAGAAGGCCATCACCCTCAAGGGTGTCGTGAGAGTCGCCAAGAACGTGTTTTGTTTTTGTCAATTATCTACTGGTGGGCGACATTGAATTCAATTCGTTTTACTGCTTGCTCGTTTCTCGCGCGGGTTCTTTCTGATCTGACCGCGTGGAGACTTGATGCCCCCAGGCTTTTGCCACCCGCATGCGCAAAACCGACGTACCGATGAATGCGCATATCACGTTTTAACACAAGGCTCACCTTGCAGTTTCGCGCAAAACAAGCAGGGGTGGAGCACGAAACACATTGGAGGGGTGGAACCCGTCAGCGTAGTGTACGCGCGTGCAAGCTCTGCTGCTGCATCTGCGGAGTACAACCCTCGCCCTCCGAGCGGGCGGTGAACCCACATCCGATCCAGCACCTCTTACCTTAGTGCACCAACCCCCCCCCCCTCACTCGTGTGTCAATCGCCGCAGGAGCTAAAAAAGCAGCGCGTAAAGGAGGGTAGACACGCCGACGCGAGAGGGAGAGGAGGAGGCGGCAAAGCGGGGGAGGACGGCGGTGGCGGCGGCGCCGACGCGAAGTCGAAACCGAGCTTCCTGGACAAGATGCGGGGCGAGCAGGTTGACGCCATGGGGCTAGAGGAGCGCATGAAGCGCAACAGGCACTACCAACAGCGTGGCGCCGACGTGCACAACTTCATGGACCGGGGTTGATCATTTGCTTGAGGAGCCGGCTTGGAGCGGTAGGGAACGGTGCAGAGAGCAAACGGCCCCCATGTGCGTGGGACAAGGTTTTGGGTTGTGTGCGTCGGGTGCTGGTTGAGAAAACGTAAAGCTCGCCCCCCCCCCCCCCATGGTCCACCACGTCGTGGCACCTTTGGGCTGAGCTCCTAGTGTGGGACAGGTGTTTGAAACCCACTGATGCATTATTGTTCTCCTTGTACCCGTTGCCTTCGCTGTGTGATTGGAATGGCGACCAAGTCAGCCCTCCTCACCAAAACTGCTCGGCGTGTGACGCACCTAGCTGTATTCGGGCATCGACTTTGAGATCCTGGAAATGATTTGTTTACGTTGAGGGGCGGCATGCTGGAGCTACAGAGTAGCACACCAGGAGTCGGCGCTACCAGTTCCACCAATGGGAGACTTGAGTCTCCTGAGAAATAGATTAAACCTGTACTGCTGGAACGGGCGAAGAGAAACACCCTTGGGGACGCGCGGGTAACCACCACCTTCCGTAGAAGCCGCTCCTATTTTTCCTCCGTGTTGTACATAGTGCTTCGTGTTTTTGAGAGCACACGTGAAGCCCATGACGCGAGAGAGTAGGAGCGGTGATGCGTTTTCGACTCGGTGGTGACAGAAAAACGGCAGGTGGGCAGGCGGGCATGGAAGTTTCCCAAAGTGGTCCACGAAGTCCCCGTGGTCATCCCCCCCCCCTACAGTACGCATCGGCCACTGTGTGAAGTTCAAGCCGAGGGAGAAATCCCACGCGCGAGCGAAGACACGCTAGAATCCCGATGAATTTGCGTAGAATACCCGCCGCCCTGAAAGCACTCGCGGGTTTGCTGTGGGCGGGTGACACCGGTTTCGTTCTAGTTTCGTGGCTTGTTTCATTTTCCTTGGAAGATGTAGACCAGTAAGTGCCCACGGCCAAATCGATTGCTACGGTATTGGCAGGTCTGGACTAGATCCTTCAGTTCGCCGACGCATTTCTGGCACTGCACGCTCGAGATATCGACATGAGGTTTAACCGATGTAGGAGGATTTGTTGCACGTGCTCCTCCGACGATACGATTCACGCCTGAATAACAAACCACCTATGATGGGACAAACGAACGATTCACAATTTATGAGACGGCGTCGGAACCGCTGCGTCCCCCCGCGGAAGATCCGGGGTTGGCCTGCCTCGGCGTGGCGGGAACGACGCTGCCGAGCATCCCCTGGACAAGAATGGGATGAAGCAGGAGCGGAGGACGGGGTTCACACCCTTGAATGAAGAGCCTCCATTTCGCGGGTCAACATGCGTCCATTTTAGGGCAAGGGTGCGAATGCTCTGCGCTATTGTAGTGAGCCCGAGCTGCTGTTCCAGATGAAAGCCAAGCATTCCAAATGCATGCCGCGACTAACCAGAGAGACTTTTCTGACAAGCCATGTGTTTAGATGTTGTCGAGGAGAGTCTCACAATGTTGTCAGGGCAAGACAACCGACTCCCAGACACTCCTGTTCTCAACGGTGACGCCGCCCCATCCCTTGAAGTCCCCGTGCCTGGAACACAAACGTCTTTCGAAAACGCTCACCGACTGAGAAAAACACATGGAGAGAGGGGCGGCTCCCCTTTGAAAGAGAAATGGTGGAAAACCGTGCACGCACCGTTTCCGGCCTACAGCACCCGCCATTTCTTGCGATGTGTTTTGTGCGGTGTGACTAGAACGACTTGCTGCCGCGGTAACAAAGTTATGAGAGGGGGTCTTGTCCGTGTTGATACAGCTTCGCAACGTGCTTGACAGCACCGCCTTAAGTGGCCGAACCACATGTTCATATTTCCAAAATCGTATAGTTTCCATCGCCAGTTGGTCAAGCGCCTTACTTAGCTTTTCGTTGCACCCTTGCAAGAACCCCTTGGCAAAACGGCACAGCCGAGTACTTGATTTTCCGTCGTTGCTAGTGTAGCTGGGACACGGTACACAAGAAGCTGAACAGCCACCAATGCTGCCCAGGGCGGGAAAAAAAACGTGGTACATGATCAACTTGTGCGTACACAAGCCGGAGCGCAGCGTACGATGTTTTCGTCCAGAAAAATATTCGATTGACCCACTTTCTCGCGGTACAGTTGCCACTGCTCCAGGGGAGTCATGTCATCCTCCGTCTTCCACGGCACCACCTTCTTCGCGTGGGTGCAGTCCGCCAGACGGCGCACACGAAGAAGATGGTGACTTGGACGGCCGAAGACGATGTGACTCTCCTGGAGAAATGGCAACTGCACCGAGACAAAGGTGAGTCAATCGAATCTTTTTCTGTGCATAGAGATCGAGGAAGTGGGAAGGGGCGTACGGAAGAGAGGGGCCGCAGTTGACGTCATGGGGATACGAGAAGTGGACTTAGGCAGTCGACAGCAGTCAAGGCAGTACAGTCGGTGTTTGTCGGGAGCGGTTGTGATGATATACCAAGAAGATTTTTTCACAATGATTGAACGTCGTCGCCGATATCGGTCGGTGGCTTTTTAGCGAAGGAAGGCAAAATCTCACGTAGTTGATAGGCTGAAACAACCGCATCGGCAGCGTTTGCGCTACTGCTACAGTTCTTTATGTTTGTGGTCTGAAAAAAATATACCGCGCCGATAGAACCAGTCGTGATATTGAAATGAACGAAAGACCAGCACAGCGACACGTACGTCAGCGTTCCCATTCCGTCCACCCCCATTTATTTCTAGAATACACCCGACACCTACATGACCCTGCAGCGAATTGTTCGTCTTCTATTGGAAAGAACGCCGACATCTGGTCACTCTTTCAAGTCTTCGCAACAAGCGACTGTGGATAAACTGTATGTTGAACGGCTTTGTATTAATATTAGTCACTCTTGGATGAAATTTCCCAACAACAGAGAAAGGCGGCTAGCAACAGCATGTTAAGATAAATACGCAACTTCATCACCCATTGGATACATGCTGGTATGTTCTCACATTTTTGGTGATACGACATTGATTGGCAATGCCGACGATACCCTTACTCTCGACGACCGTTTTCCCTGATGCTCTGCCGATTTTGGACCCCGGCCGGGCCTACTCTATCTCCGTACAACCCCCCCCCCTCATCACCGAAGAGCAAAATCTCTGTGCGTTGGGGAGCGAAAGGCAGACAGATGTATTATTGAGGGATAATCGAGTCTTGGGGCCACTCCTGGTCGGCTTGCTTTTGGTGGAGTCAACTGACGGTCACCGCAAGATTTAATAAGCAGGGACGTTCCAGGAAACGTTGTTAGTGTGTTTTCGGTTTTCGATTTTCGCTGGAGCATGAAAAAAACACATCATGGGATCTCATGATCAGTGCCGCACAATGCACACAATTGTCACAAACGACCACGCCGACACACGTGAAGGATTGACATGCGAATGCGGTACTACGGTAGGTGATGACAACTGCACAAGGGCAGTACTCATCGCCACTATCCCTCCGACTCGGGTTTCAACGCGGTGCATCGTTGTTGGGGTGGTCACATCGAGTCGCTATTATTGTTTGTCGGGGCGGTAACACCGCACGAAGTGGAAAGAAAGGTGCCACGCTGATTTGACACACACCTGCCTGCGCTGATCGTGCGAGGGGAAAGGGAGCCGAAAAACGAGAAAAACAAGCGCAGCACTTGAGTCACCTGTAGTCACAACAAAACACGGAGAAACCCATCAGATTGCGCACGAAGTACATGCAGTAGTATTCCATGTACGTTGTATCTTTCCTTGTAGTGGACGTATGTCTTTGATGGGTTGATCATCATGCATGATGATGATACAAAGAAAGGTGCGCGCGGGACAGTCTTCCTCTGTCTTTGTCTCAGAAATCGGATACATGTGTATCACTCAGGTTTTTATCAAGACTTCTGTGGTGTTCGTAGTAGTCAATTGCTCTAGCTTCGTACAGCAGATACTCGGTACTTGTCCAACATGCTGCACGATGAACGTTTGTCAACCGTAGGGCCGTGGGGGCCTAGCATAGGGGCCTACAGCAGTTGACCACCGTATCCCCCATGTTTCTTGCAGCTTGTGGACCCCCTTCAATCTGCTCAACAGATCTGGGATGTCTGTCTAGCAGCGAGCAGTCTCTCCACCGCCGGCGCCTGTATCTATCCACTGCTGACGATGGCTTCCGTGTCGCGTTTCCGCAACAGTGGTGGTGGTCCCTCCCCGAGTAGGCAGGGGAGGGGGCGGGGTGGTGCCGCTGGCGGTCGTGGCAAACAGACTCTAGACGAGGAGTCGATGGAAGAGATCAAGGAAGCCTTCAGCCTGTTCGACACGGAGGGCAAAGGTGCCATCGACATTCGCGAGCTTAAGGCAGCGTTCAGAGCACTCGGCTTCCAGGTTAGCGTTTTGTGTTATTGGGTGTGGATGCCGTCCATTGCACCAATAGCAGCGGCAACAACCGCAGCGGCAGTAGCAGAAGAAGAGCACGGAACTTACCTTGCCATGAACTCCTTTGGCAGTTCAAAATCTCGCCGCGTTTTTCTGTTCAAAATATCTCACCGTATCCTTGGGAAGCCAAAAGACGGTTGGATTTATTAAAGAGTGTGAGGACGCGCTACCCATGGATATATGCAACATGAATCCCGGGTACCCATGCTTTTGGTCGTCATGCACGTAGACAGCCGCGACGTATTCCAGGGAAATATTCTTCGCCCGAGAGAACGCGCTGATACATACAGCTGAGATCCAGTACTTGCTCGTGCCTTCTGCGTACAGTAGGGACGACGTGCGAAAAAGCGAGCAGAACAGCAACGAAGCAGCAGCAGCAGCATGTAGTAATGATTGCGACGGAAAAGTGACTAGCAGAGGACAACCCCAACCTTGAGCATTGTTTACTTCAGTTGTGTAAACCAAGTACTGTGCATACATACCACCCGGACAAACAAGCGGCGGATCAGTGGTTGCGCGACCTGGGTTCTCGGAGGCCGGCCCCTCCCCCAACCAATCAGACGCCTTGCGATCTCCAGCACCTCTGGCAGGTTTATGGCCCAATGGATGTTGTAAAATAGTGTTCCAAGAAGAACTGGTTGAAATCCGGTTCATGGCCGGACGGATGTTGTAGCACCGGTACGTATGCATACCACGATGGACGGACCACCGTTGGATATGATTGTTCATGGGTAAATAGGTGTTGGAAGAGCCTTACCGCCGAGAGGAGTGAATGATACCTACGGATAGTGGACTTCTACTTCTTCGAGTCGGGTGTAGTCCGTACCCTCAGTCGGTTAGCCTCCCTACGCTGAGGGTTCCAGCGACGCGAGCCGGAAAAAAATCTCCGATGAGGGTATTGCTTCTTCAGGACTTGCCCTCCGCGAAACTCTGCAGGTACAGCAAACAAAGACACCGGAGAGATGCTGTACCCTCCGATCCGGTCGTGCGAGCAATACTTATCCTTCACAGGAAAGCACTGCAGCTTCTGCTGGCACCTGGTTGGAGTTTGTCTCTGCTTCTGAAAATGCGTGACCACGCGGTCTTGCCATTCCCCTCCCAACCCCCAACGGTGTTCTACAACTACATGCACGTGTATCATTTCGTCGACATTTCGCTGTGGGTGGCCTTTTCGGATACATTTGTGCACGACGTCAGCTACGTGTAGTTTGTTTTGTTTCGGCTTAGTTCTGTCCAAGGAGCCTAGACGCGTGGACTACAACAGCGTGTCACAATCCGAACCAGCTGCCCAACCTTGCTCTGGTTGCTGCGTGCCATTATCGGGATCACAAGAACACTCGCTACATGGAGTTGAAAGCGGAATATTTTCGAGGCTTCATACGCTGTCGATGGGGAGATGCGCCGGAGTGACCGCGGTTTTGGGGTCCTGAGCCTCTCGTTCCCCGACTTGCCCTTGCTCTTCGTTCGGACCTGCTGGTCAGGTGAAGAAACAAGAGATCCGGGGGATGTTGACGGATGTGGACAAGGAGGGCGCGGCGAGCGTTTCCTTCAACGACTTCGTGGAGATGGTCACTCCCAAGGTCTTGGCCAGGGATCCTAAGGTGAGACCAAAAGGCCCTCTCGCCGAGCAGCAGCAACGCGCAGTCGTGCAGCTGTCGATCGATATCACCGTTGGGCGAACGTATGTACGCAAGTATGGCTGAATGTTATTTGCGTGTTTGTGTTCTTTTTTTAGTGTATTTGTGCATGAATACTGCGTAGTAAGAGGCAGAGAATAAAGGAGGGGTGAATCCTGTCTGCAAGTTGACGGGGAGGGTTGAAGCAACGTCCAGTTGCACCTCTAGATGAGCCTGAAATTGTATAACGTTATTATCGTGGTTCATGGCCGAAGTGGCCCCTTCAATTCTTGCGTTCACCTTTTTTCTTCACAACGTCTAACCGCATCGTTCGGGTATTCCAGTAGTAGTGCCCCCATAGAGCACCAGTGCGCGCACGTCGCCCCCGTACTCGTCGTGGCGAATGTCAGCAGTTATTTTCCGTCTACAGAGGGGGGGGAGGGGGTCCCTGAACGGAGACTACCTCCGTACACCCATCTGCGACGGCTCTGTAGATACCAGGTTCCGATGAATTACTTGCTGCATTTTTATCTTGTGCCAAACGTGGCCAATGACCCACCGGGCTGTTGCGTCTCGCACGCGTCCCGGCGAGGGCAACGCTCCGTCCACGACTGTAAGGACGTGGTTGGGGGCTTCGGGCTGAGGCCGCTTGCCGTACAAGCTCGCCGTGCTTTTAACGCAGTTTGTTTGTGAAGGCGTTTGCTACTTCCTCCAGCACGGGCTGTTCAGGCGTGCTGGTTTCTGGCGCGCCTTGTACGTACCGGGCGTGGTGTTTGGGCGTCAGTTCATGCTGGGGCCATTCCCTCTCCATGGTCATCATCTGGAGTATTTCCTGATTCCCTACCAGCAAAAGCTGATGTGACCCCCTGCCCTGCGACCCCGGGGCCGTAGTTCACTGCCTCCCCCGGCTGCAGACATACCCCCGCCCAGCGCGCCGCATTGGTGATGTTTAGGATACTGCCCGTGTCCCCGCGTGGGGCGCCCTCCTGTAGGATGAGATGACGTGATGTTTCTGAAACACCAGTACCGCAAACGAACACAACATGCTACGCGTGAATTTTCTTAATTAATTCGTCCGTGCACCTTCCGTTCTTCTGTTGAAAAAAATGTATGTTCCACAACAATACAGGACGAGATCATGAAGATATTTGCATTGTTCGACGAAGACGGGACGGGGGGAATCTCGTTCAGGAATCTGAAACGAGTTGCGACAGAGCTGGGGGAGAACCTAACCGATGACGAACTGCAGGCAAGTTTTGGCAAATGGATTTTCTCATCTGTCGCCCACCGGGATTCCTGCCGCTGTGTTTCCATCGTCGTTTGTTTCGTTTGCTCTTTTTTCTTTGCCCTGTGACCTCGTCGTCGTCGTCGTCGTCGTCTTACCGGGGGTCGTGCGAAAAACATCGGCTTTTCTTGAGCTTTTTTTGTCGTCGTCCCTGCTGATGCGTCCCCGTTGTGCAGGAGATGATCGACGAGGCGGACAGAGACCAGGACGGAGTGGTGAACGCGGACGAGTTCTACCGGGTCATGCGCAAGCGAGAGGATCCCCTGGACGACCTAGACAGCGACGACGAGTACTGACCTCACACCCGCCTAAACACACCCCACCCACCTCCATGTACCCATCCACCCAGCCACTCACCCACCCACCCATGGCGGGGTCATGTTTGCGGTGGACCTCCGCACGAGATCAGCTCGCAGGATTGCTCTTGTTAACGCGCATAAAGTCCGGGGGTGGAGGATAAATCTACCTGTGTCCTGGGCAGTGCCGGCGCAATGTGCTCTCTGGCGGCGAGTTTTTGTGCGCGTGCTTGCGCTGAAACCGCTCTTTTTTTTTTAATGTGTTTTTGGCCGCGCAACATGGGAGCTGGTCACTATTGTTCCCTCCAAGACAGGCGTTCCATGCCATGGTGTGATGGTTTTCAGGCCCTATCAGGCCGTGGCGGTGGTGTAAGGGGCGTTTTGAAAGCAACCAAGCGGATGATCAGCTTGTCGTGTCGGGCGGGTGGGTGGGGTGTTACCAAGAGCGATGTGGTCCTAGCCAGGGATGGCGTCCGGCCCAGGACGCAGAAGGTTTTTGAAGGAGCGTTTCTTGAAGGCTTCGAGAGCGGCACACGAGGCGCGGTGGTAGACTTCGGTGTGGACGTTGTAGTCGGCGCGACGGCGTTGGGGGTCAATACTGGGTCTGATGGGTGCGCTCGGAAAACAACTGAAGCGTGGGAGGGGGGGAGGGGGGGGGGGGGGGGGGTACTCATAGTCGTGCATGCCGTAGTCGTTAGACCATTGACCTCGCATCCCTACAAAGCCGGGACGGAGCACGCCGGGTTCTCACCGCACCAGGCTCTCACATCACCAAGCGCGAAGCGCCGTGAGGTATTCGGCGAGTCGCATGAAGGGTGAGCTGCACCCTGCTAAGGGTGTTCGGCATCTTGTGCTTACTTCCTTGCGTACGGATGACAGCTACGTATGACTTAATTTATTTTCTGGTGCTTTCACTTCCAGAGACAGTTGTAAGCACTGTGTAACTGCCTCGAGGAAGCTTGACCATTTTAACACAACGTGGTGCGATCATCCCCCGTTGCGCGGAGTGAGGGTTCTCGACCCCGCACAACATGATCTACTCGACCACCATTATGGTTACCGCCAAAAACAAAACCGTAAAAAAAAAAAAACGGTAACCTGGTTGCCGAGTTCACGAAGTAGGGGGGGAGGGGGGGAGAGGATAAATTTCCGTGCTACGCTCGTGGCTTGTTGGTTTCATACAAGGATCGAAAGAATTGTGTGCTTGTTGTTTGTTTGGCGGTTCAGGCTTCGGTATTTATTTGTTCCTTCATCACGTATCTGCATTGATATGGAGGAAGACGCACCCGCGTGGTATTTTGTCTGTGCGTATCTGGAGCTCTGACATGCTCGGCCTGCACAACGCATGGTGTACACCATTGTCCGACGAAGATTGATATGTACAAACAAGCGCTGCCTATCTTTTCGTGTACGTGTGCCCGCCAAGCACCGGTTGTTTTGGGGTGCAACGCAGCGTGTATTCGCTGTGGAGGGCAGACCGTGCACCGCTCGAACCACGCGGCCTTGTTGCGTAAGAACTTGAAGACGCAGGTCGGTGTCGCGCCCAGCCGGGGCCGCTATGATGCACAAGAGTCGAAGCGGGCGAATCAATGACCGATTGCGCCACCAGTAAACAACACTGCTGTCTGGCTGGACCTGATGAATGAATGGTGGATGGCGAATGGACGAAGATTGTATCAGTTCTGTCCCGCTGTGACTCCAAACTGTTTTATGTTGTGAATACATAATAAGCCAAGCAACAGGAATAAGTGTTGCATCTTATTGCAAGTGGTGGTGTGTTGCTGGGGGCCGAAGGAGCACCGGGCATCCGTCACCCCGCGATACATATCCTTGGGCAGCACCATGATCAATTGACTGGGTAGGCTGGAGACTGCAGCAAGACATACTTCAGAAGTTTTCCTTGCTTGGCGTTTTCTGCACAGTGAAGCACGCAGTCACCCACCGTAGTACGTAAGGGGCGAAGGAGATTGTTGTTTTTCGACCCCGCCCGAGCAAAGCGTGGTGTTTCATCACTCACTCCAAAGTTGCGTACAATCGCTGAAGGATTATATAAGTCTGTGATCTAGACAAGCCGGGACTACAGTACTACATGTACTTTCTCCGCATTAGTCTACTTGTACAGCAGACGTCATGCTTGGCGATGGATATGCATAGGATCTCTCGTCCAGTGCCCATAATTTGAAGGTTCGGTGACGCCGGCCGAAGTCACAATAAGAGTGATAAACTAATGCGAGGACTCTCCTTGCAACACTGGGATAACTAGGTCAACGACACCTATCGTGTATGCCTGCTATCTCCGGAGGAAGTCGTCGACGGACAGAAGACGGTCTTTCTTGCCGTGCAGAGTGTTCGTCATCTGTTTTATCCCGCTATCATTCACGGTGCCCCCGTTCAGGTTACGCCGCATCGGTAGCCTCGCTCGCACGAGCTGTATAGCTGTATCCCTCTCTTGTAGCGTGGTGTGCACTGGCTGATGCGCACGCTAGAGAGCAAAGGAGCTCGAAGTGGTGGAGACTTCTAGTCCGCACCCCTCACAGGTGGGTTTTGTCTATGTCAGCAATGTAGACAACAAGGCCCCTTGATCTCTCTGGGCCGGCCGAAAAAATCGTGACCGGGGATCGACCCGTTTCTTTGCGTGCCAACAAACCACATTACAATACCAGGTGATGGTGCGGAAAGGGACAGTAAAGGAGGAGAGCCTGCGGCAGGAGCTCCTGGACGACCCGGAGGTCGATCCGCCGGAGGTGGGGGGGGGGAGGCTGGACTGGCGGCGGGATGGGGCGCATTCCAGACAGTCGTCGCTGAGGGTGCTCGTCCCGACAGCAGCCAGGTACTGAAAGCATCGTCGTACGCATTGTGTGCGAGGCAGCAGGGAGGGGACGCTCAAATTGTCCGCAGCGGACACGTGCTCAATGCCGTGCTTTGCCTATTGTTGCATGTGGACAGCAAGCGCAACAAAGCAAATGCAGCGTGTTGGGGTGCTGGCATAGGCCTGAAAGACAGTTGTTCTCCGCTTTTGGTATTGTGTTGGCGTAGCTCTACTGCCAAGTGCTCGCCGCTTGGATGCCGATGATAACAGCTTTCTCAGGGTGCTGCTGTATACAGCTGTGCCGTACGCGGCGTTGTCACTTGTTACAAGCTATCACGCACGAAGAAGAGCAAACCCTGCCTCTATTGTAGACTACAACAGAAAGTGCGACAGCAGTGGGGTTGCCTGCGCCTCCTGCGATGGGCTCTCCCAACCTCGCTGAGCTTGTCCGTGATGGATAAACTCTTACAGACAGACGGTGTATGGTGTATGCCCATGTGTCCAGAAGACTGCGGTGTGTCTTACGTCTATACTGCTGTAGATGGTTCAGCCCAGGCTGTTCCAGCTGTCACACGGAAGAGTGTTTGCCGACAACACGTGCTTGCATTTTCGTCGGTATGGACCTCTACTGCTGTACAAACGCTAACCCCGGGGGGTGGTGGACGGCAGTGCTTTTAAGCGGAATGCAAAAGCCAATCCTCTACAACTCGTGCACACTATCCCCGCCGCGGGGTGATTACGTAGTTTTCAGCTCTTTACGATTGGCGTGTTTGCGCAAAAGGCATACTCCTATATGTATATGTTTTACAGCAGTAGGGCAGTGACAGCAGTCTGGCATGATCTCCGGCAATATATCTATCTTGTCAATGCGAAAAATGAAAATGACCAGAACCAGGTGCATATGTATCATGTCGTCCTACCCTACAAGCTCCCCTTCGGGAGTTTGGTTGCTTGCTTCCCTAGGGGCGACGCAAGAAGACATGGCCAATGCCATCGAGGTCGCATCGTTGCATCTCAACGTGATGAGTGCCGGTTTTCGCACACAACCTTCAGAATCTGCCTGGAATCTTGCATCATGTGCGTTTTTTTTTTCTTCTCGCCGTGACTCTTCGCGTGTGCTTGAATGTGTGCTTTTGGACTGGTGACGTCTTTGCTGCAGATCCTACAGCTGTAATTCGCTGCTTTCGAGTACTCGCTCTTATGTATTCATGTTGCCCGTGGTCTGTGGGGCTTGGGTGCATTTTTGCGCAGGAATCAAAACAAAAGTCTTCCTGTTTTATGCCAAGCAGTTTTTGTTTTGCGTTTCGAAGGCTTTCTTCGGGCGGAACACGTCCCCGGGGTATGGAGCCAGTGTTTCAACTTTCGGCGTCAAGCACACGCGCCACGGTACTGGCGGTCGTTGGTGCGTGGTAATGGTCTGTGTTTGTATTTATGCTCTTAATACAAGTAACGTACCGACGTACGAGAAGGAAGCGTGAGAAAAACTCGGTTCCACCAGCGAAAGATAAGATATATCGAAGCGCGAAAACAAGCACGTTGTTACTGCAGCTTGGCACGGCACTTCTTCAGTCCGCCGACAAATGGTGCCTACCGTGTGAACGAGTTTTCCGTGGTGCGTTGTGGCCGGCCGTGGCCAGCGGTGGATAGCCCTTCTCCTCTGGTAGCAAACACAACAAAGCAGTACAGAGCTACATAGCGCCATTGAAGACACACCAATTTACACGCACACACCATTTTCCCGATCAATCGTGTCAGGGCAATGATTCCTGTGGTGTTATCCAGCATATGTCCCTCCCTCCGCCTCATGCTGCCAAGACTTGGAAGGAACACCCCCCTTTGGACGGCTTATTGTCTCGAAGCGGATGGTCCTTCCTTGATTTTCTGAAGGGAAATAGACACAAGTGGGTATACCCACCCCTTTCTCGGACTAAAGTGGGTACTCGAAAATCCAGCGCGCGCGCACTCCATAGGCGACCCCCAAACGACTCAAAACCCCATTCTGACACCTGGGCGACACAGCCAGGGACCATGCACAGCACGGGCATCATTTCCCCCCCACCTTTAGGCACACCTTTGGCCCTAATACCGCCGACGCGCGCAAGGCCTCACCAGAGTGCCCACTTATGTCCGACATCGCGGTGGGTATACCCACCGGCGTCAACGATTTTTTTCATGTACCCACTTGTGTCTGTATTTTGACCCACTTTTGTCCAAATTGTACCCACTTTTGTCCACTTACGGACGGCGGAAATCGAGCGGAAATCGACCTCCACGTCACCGCACGGCAGAACATCGTATAGCCTCGGAACGTCTCAGAACCTCCCAACACCGTATCCATGGCATATTTCCTATCCATGGCTGCCGACTGCGGACCGACCACGGAGGAACATGTCACAAACATGCCAGACCCCTTCGGTACCGGCACGGGAAGATACCAGGCACGGGAAGATACCCGCGGGAAGCCTACTGTTGTTGCCGTGACGAGTCGGTGTGCACTCGCCGTGGTGGTTGGTGTTTTTGTGTGTGTGTTGTTGCTGTTTGCGCGTCTTTTTGTTCTGTATGCGCGACCCGTTGGTTGTGTTGTCCGTTGTGTGTCACGGATTTATTTGTGGCGTGCCGTTAGTGCGCTGCTTGCCGGGCTTGCGGCGGGTATCTTCCCGTGCCTGGTATCTTCCCGTGCCGGTACCGAAGGGGTCTGGCATGTTTGTGACATGTTCCTCCGTGGTCGGTCCGCAGTCGGCAGCCATGGATAGGAAATATGCCATGGATACGGTGTTGGGAGGTTCTGAGACGTTCCGAGGCTATACGATGTTCTGCCGTGCGGTGACGTGGAGGTCGATTTCCGCTCGATTTCCGCCGTCCGTAAGTGGACAAAAGTGGGTACAATTTGGACAAAAGTGGGTCAAAATACAGACACAAGTGGGTACATGAAAAAAATCGTTGACGCCGGTGGGTATACCCACCGCGATGTCGGACATAAGTGGGCACTCTGGTGAGGCCTTGCGCGCGTCGGCGGTATTAGGGCCAAAGGTGTGCCTAAAAGTGGGAAAAAAACGATGCCCGTGCTGTGTATGGTCCCTGGCTGTGTCGCCCAGGTGTCAGAATGGGGTTTTGAGTCGTTGGGGGTCGCCTATGGAGTGCGCGCGCGCTGGATTTTCGAGTACCCACTTGAGTCCGAGAAAGGGGTGGGTATACCCACTTGTGTCTATTTCCCTTTTCTGAATAACAGCAGTCATACCCTCCCTCCCTTCAGCCCGCCAGCGCAGTCCCTTTGACCCTCCTAGTACGCAGTCCCTTCGCAAAAACTATTTCCCAGTGTTTTTGTCAGTCATTGGCTGAGGGGCTGCAGTCCCTGCAAAGAAATCGGGGAGTGTCGAGCTCGTTGCCAGACAAACGGTGACTTGGCTTTAGTATGAAAAGTGTCCGCAATCGTGGGCACACCTTTCATACTGAAACCAAGTCTGCAGATGTTTCCAGTACCAGGCGAGACACGCGGCTTCGGAGATTGTGTACAGCAAGTCAAAGGCCGAGGAGAGGCATCACACAGCTTGTCGTACCACCTTACCCAAGCATGATAGACCAAAGGTTTTCACGTGCGTTTCACACAGCGGAGCCTAAGAGCGACTACGGTGCGATAATCAGACATTTGAGTGCTGTGTCCCCGAAGTGTATCCACTTGGGCGTCCAGCACGAAGAGGGCTAATAGCACATACAGTACTGCTGTACAGAGAAGATACACGATAGAGTAAAAAGGGGTCTCTGGTCGCGTCTGTTTACCTCGATGCAAACAGCGTGTTCAAGTGGGACCAAGGCGGCGCCCTGATCGAGGGCATCGACGAAGCGACCATCGGCCTTCTCGATGAGCACCGGCTGTCCATCAAGACTCTGGGGGAGCGGTACTGCACCGACCTTAACTCCGAGCGGCCAGAGCACAGCGGCGGGGTGAACCCAGAGCGAGCGACGCAGGTATGATAACGTGTGTGTGGGGTGCGTTGTTTTTTTAAACCTTCCTTTCGATGCTCATCTGCTTCTGTCGCTGACTGCTGTTGCGGTCACACACTTCCGTCAGTCCTGACATGAGTGGAGTCCAGCATTGTTCGTCACAGCACCAGCTGAAACCTTAACTTAAACAACGCCAGGAATATATGTCTCCACAGCAGACTGTTTTCTTTGTTGTTGTGCATGTGGCCAATGTCCGCCTTGCCCCCCCCCCCCACCCCCGCCCCGCCCTGCCCCGCCCCGCCCCAGACGCGTGCTACACGCTTCTAGGCAGTTCGTCGTCGCAAAACTTCCAATTTCGAACTGACTTTTGCATCCACGTTAGTTGATAGACAACCGCAGTTGTTTCCAGGAGTTTTGAGGAACACGGTAACGTTGACCATGCCGATAAACGCCCGAGCACAGCTGACGGTGATGATGATGGTGGTGTTGTTGGTGTTGGTGTTGGTGTTGTTGGTGTTGGTGTTGGTGTTGGTGTTGGTGTTGGTGGTGGTTACTCCTGGTCTGCTGCTGTAGTGTATTTTTAACGTGGATACTATCGGCTCCTCGCCAGGATTTTAGTTTCTACAGTCGGAGTCGGTGCTTGCTTACGAACAACACTTTGGGCGGCCTTCCCACTCCCTTCCCATCCCGCGGACTAGAGATCCTCTGGCATCCTTTGCCTTGCTAAGACCGAAACAGAAAGAAAACGGTGTACGCATACACACATACTTCTAGGAGCGTTTTTCCATCGGTCTGCCGGCGTTTGCGGGACATGGCGGCCCGCGATCGAACATAAACACACACCCTGTCGACCTGCGAAAACACCCCCCGCAGGTGTTGAGCATGATCGGACCTAACGAGCTCACGCCGCCGCCTACGGAGCCCGCGTGGAAGCTCTTCCTCAAGGAGCTGCTGGCGCCGCTCA